AAAAGCCGGAAAACTGCCGAAAATCACGTTTTTACGCGCTTTTCCGGGAATAAATAGCTTAGTATTCGTCGGAGCGTAAAATTAGTTATTAGCAAAGTTGAAGCCGAGTGAATTGCCGACAATATTGAAAGGGACAAGTTTTCGCTAGGACTTAAATTTAAGAATGCGAGTTTTCGTACAGCTAGCAAAACTTCGATTATCTGAACTAAAGTTTGGTTACACATGATTGAAATCTTTGGTTACTAGAGCTAAAAACTTTAGTACTATATGAACTGCAGTTTTTTTTTTTTTTTGTTCTTTCTTCGTGGTATTTCATTTGTAATAGTTGTGCGATGCGGACACGAACCGCTATAGATGCTGGTCAACGAGCGGCTAAAAAAGACATCGATTGCACATTTTGAGGACCTCAATCTGACCGTGGTTGGGCGGCAACAAAGATTGGAAAAAAACCGACTCGGCGAGCGGATGGCTTAATTTGTATTTTCACAGGCTAAATTGAGAACAATGTTTTCTCGGATGACATCTTAGACAAACTTGGCTGTAATTGAACATGTCCACCGCTGTTTTGAACTCGTTTTGAGGTTAAAGGTTCTGGATGATTTATTCTTGGCAGCTATTACATTTCTCGCGCGGTGTTGCAACATTTTACGAGAACTACGGGTATAGTGTTCCGAGGCGAATGAGAAAAGGAGAGGATTCTCCGCACAATGTATTAATCATGCTACGGGGTCTTGGCCGTTTCCGCCCGGTTAGTCTTTTTTTGTCATAGCTTATGATGCGAACATGAATGACAACCGAAAGGACGGGCGTTAATACCCTGAATTTAACATTCCATTATTGTTTTGAAGTGGAACAAAATTTTCTCTACAAAACAAAGTCTATAGCCCAGGGTATGTGGCGAAAGTATCTCAACAAAGTCTCTGACTTTACTGGAACCATCCATTAAGGTCTATAAATGGAAAAAAGTCTCCTGGATCTAGAAACCAGAAGCTTAAAAAATTTGACGAGAAAAACTAGTCTTGATTCCATCGGATTTTTGCTTGAATCAAAAGAAAAAAATCTGTTTAAATTGATCAATTCACGCAAAAATCCGATTGAATCAAGACTATCTTTTCTCGTCAAATTATTTAAGCTTTTGGACTCTGGATCCATCAAGAGATTTTTTTTTCCAATGCTGACACAATAAACGCAAAAAAATCTCTACAGTTAAAAACATTTTGCCAACATTTGTGCGATACAATTGTATAGAAAAGCAACGACACCCCCTGAAACTCCCTGATTTTTTCTATTTTGTGATCTACGTCCCTGACTTTTCCGGGTGACAAAAAGGTCAAGTGATACTGCAGCTGTTTAATATGTCTCTGAGGAACATTTTTTGCAGGAAAAAAAACATTTTCACCCCTGCTAAGATACATTGGCAGAGTTAAACTGTTGAATTTTGCCAAAAATTCGTTACAACTGTCCTATTTATTGTGCTTTGATAACGATAGCCTTGCACTTTCCTTCATCGCAACCCATGAAGGACCTAAAGAAAGAAGCTGCTAAAGGAAAAACTATGAGTTCACCCCGTAATTTTCGTGACGTAAAATATTCAGAGGCGATCAAAATTATTCCTCTTATAATAACTACGTATTAGGGAGATTTTTTCTGAGTGACACGAGCGCATGCAGTTCAGTGATAAGGTTGCCTGCTACAGCAGCTGTAGCTCATCTAGGTCGCGCGTTTCCCGCGAATTAACGTCAACTACCATTTTCGCGGAATAAACGACAGGTAATCAATGATGCAGAATGAAAAGTCAGCAACGCGTCGCTTCAGACGGTAACCGTTGCACCGTTTGCAGTCCCGAAAAATCTGCCAGAGCTGATCTACATCTAACTACACCGAGAGAAATTATTTAAAAAAAACATTTATTTCACATATTAAAAAAAGGTTGCTTCAAGGAAAATGAGTTTGAGTTTATAATGTTGATTGTTTTTAGAGTGATATAGAACTCTTATTAAATTTAAATATGACTGGATCTATAAGAAAAGGGACCTCATCTGCTGAAAGAAGACTTTCCTCGACTTCCTTTAAATGCACTGAGGAAGAAAATTTGGAAATGTTGGGGCATGTTTGACCCTGAAGCTTCAAAATTGAAAGAGGCCCATGCGTCTGAAAGTTTCAGGACAATAATATTTAGGTTGTAGAAAAACGTGGTTTCAGATTTTGCAAAGAGAAAAGGAACATTTTCTCCCAGAATATAAAGCCCCTTCTCAAAGATCCAGTCACGATGAGTTTTTTTATAATTTAAAATAGAATTAAATTACACTATAATTGTTTATGACCTTAAACGTTCGTTCCTAAGTCGTTTTTGAGATTTTTTGAATTCTTTCCTCGTCTTACATAAAATCTCTCTAAAAAAGAGTATTGCTACCGGAGATATTATAAAAACATCATTAAATTTGTAGTGCATTTTGCAATAAGGAGCCACTATCTCTGACTTTCCCAAAAAGGCACATATCTGCGTAAGGAAACCAATGGTGTGTATGTTGTTTCTAAAATGGGCCGAAAATAGAGGTTCCTTATTCATTGGAAAAAAGCACATGGGATCTAGAGTCCAGACTCTTAAAAACATCGACAAGAAAAAGTACTCTCGATTCAATCAGAATCTAGCTTAGATCAAGAACCAAACGTCTTAATTTAAGCGGATTTCGTTTTGATTTAAGCAAAAATCCGATTGAATCAAGAGTATTTTTTCTTGCCGATGTTTTCAAGAGTCTGGACTCTAGATCCAATGTGTTTTTTTTTCCAGTGTAATCTATTAGGGAGTCACTACGCTAGGGCTACGACAAGATTACAAATTCGCCGGGCTGCGGTATTTATTCTTGCTGTTTTAATATGTTACCACGCGCGGAGCAATTCTCCGAGAGCTTTTTCAAGTCGAGAAAAGATGGTCCTTGTTCCTCATGCAAGGGCCTTGGCGCTACATTAATAAACCCCCAGAGCTCCCGCTGAACAATGCACTCGTGCGAGCGGGGCTCGAGTGATAAATCGAGTATAAAGATGTATGAAGCAAGTGCGTGGTCAAACACCAAAGGCAAATGCAATAAACACACACCAACGAGTGAAACCCACTCGAAAAAGGGCGCTCGGTGCCGGCAAGGGCGCCGCGCCGGAACTCTTGAGGGAGTGGGGGCCCCCGCTGTCGCACAGCGGAGTAAGTCGATTACGTCGAAACTTTACCGAATTACATCTTCGTCAATACGAAATTCAGAGGTTTAAGAGTGATTCCATTGATTTTCTTGTACAATTTTCCAAGTGAGACACCCTGTATAATCTGTTTCGTGACGAAGTAAACATCAAAATTTGCAATTTTAGTCAGAAAATCCATGTCCAACTTCACCCGGGGGTTCGGTTCATTGTGTGCCGCCTTAAGCTCCCATTCTACTCTGCTGAGTTAAGAAAGAATGCCATGGGAACCTCTTGACGTTGCTTCAACTCTTTCGACAAAATATATATTTTCTGGAAAAGTAAAAAACGCACGCACGTTTTTCTTCGTATTTTCCATGATATTTTACTTGTGATTGAATCCATTTTTTTAAAATTTCGAAGAAAAATGTCCATGACTTTTATCGGAAATTATTATTCAATTCGACGAATTAGGCAACATTTGCAGGTTCGTACAGCATTCCCCCTGGAACAACAGTATCATTCTCTACGACTCGACGAACGCAGTCGGGAAATGCGTATCTCAATTGCAACATTTAAAAATCTGCGATTTTGTTTCAATTTCTTCCAGGAAAACTAATCAATATGTTTCCTTTCAACAGTGTGCGATTTTTTCAGAATGAGATGAGAGAATTTACACAAGAGGTTCATTGGGAACTGTTGGTTACTATTCTTCGAAAAGAATTAAACATGAGCGGAATATTACAACGTTGCAAACTGTGATATACGCGCTTTGCCACTTACGCACTCAATGTGCAGCTCTTTATGTATAATTATTTTAGTTTTATTTTTGCGGGATTTACGTGTTCGGTGGACAAAATGCCAGACATCTCGCAGTTTTCGAAGAAAAGTTCTCAGCTTCCGTCCTCATTAAAATTAAACTCATTAAAAGAGGGATCTCTGTTCCTAGCGAAAAAAATTGAAAAATTCAATTAAAAAAATATATTCGTGGCAGTGATAATAGTATCCCATCCTTATTTTTGAAAAAAGGAACAAAAAATAGGTAAAAGTCTAGAAAATTACAGCAAATCTGTCGCAAAAACTTTATGAGAATCAGTAATTCTGATCATTGTCGGCACAGTAATTTTACAGCACATTTCCTCAGAGGGTTGCAACAGCGGCGGTTTTTAAGACGTTGAAAAATACGTCGGAGAGTAAATTCCATCGCACTTAGAAAAAAGGAACCGGCGTGATTACAGTGTTTTCAAAATCGTGCAACTTCTTCTTTTCTTTTAAAAATACTCAATATATATTCAAATCGACACAATTATTTTTCTTTACAATCAACAATCACTGGAAAAAAAAACACATTGGATCTAGAGTCCAGACTCTTAAAAACATCGACAAGAAAAATACTCTTGATTCAATCGAATTTTTGCTTAAATCAAGAACCAAGCCTCTAAATTTGAGCGGATTTCCTTTTGATTTAAGCAAAAATCTGATTGAATGAAGAGTATTTTTTCTTGTCAATGTTCACAAGAGTCTGAACTATAGATCCAATGTGTTTTTTTTTTTTTTTCCAGTGATGTTTTGACGGGAAGAAAACACTAGTTGCTATTTTGGAAGATTTTTTTTAGATAATTATGAAGAAGCAACATTATTGCAACACTGCAATCACGCTGGTTCCTTTTTACTAAATACGCGCCAAATTGATGAAGTTCAAATGAGCTGAACGATGACCAATTGAATTGTTTTAATCAATGATTGTGGCAAACCTGCATTTTTTCCCCCCTGATATATCCGTTTACTGCAACTTCCACGAGAGAGAAAAAAACCAAAGTTTGATAACTCACCCAAGGTAATTAATCCGTCGCGGTGACTGATGAGATGCAGGTATCCAACACAGAAATCCGAAAAAGTCGAAGTAGATGTCGAATCTTGTTTCCACGATCGATCACTCACAACTTCACCCCAATTCAAAAGTTACTCCGTTACAGAGCACAGAAAAAATATATTTTCTGAGAGTACACAGGGTTGAAACGTCTATCTTTCACAAGCTGATTATTGGCACGACTCGTAGTTTTAACGATTCGCTCTTCTCGTTTCGAGAGAATCGACACTGATAAAAAAAGAGGGGAGAAAAAGCAACAGCCGACTGCAGATAAAATACGTTTCCTCGTGGTTCGTATACACTCGTTGATTGCACTAGCGCGTTCACTGTTCACAATTAATATTATTCAGCAGCTATGCACAGGGAAAAGAAACTGATATTAAATCCAAGAGGGGAAAAACTTCGAGAAAAGTAAGGTAAAAGTGAAGTTGCAATCCCTAATGCAAGGAATTTGGGGGAAAAAAAACCTACTATCTACCACATGGCCATGGGAGTGGGAGTGCGCACTGTATATTATGTAGTATTGACGAATATATATAATTAGATCAAATGTAAGTTTGTACGAATGCACGTTTTTCGTTTGTCTATTTGTTCCGCCGGTGAAGTAAACGTCTTTGACTGGTACAACTAATACATTCAGAGTTTAGATTGGAATAGATGACTAGGTAATCACAAAAAATAGTTAATTTTATAACAAAATTAGCTGCATTCACTGGAAAAAAAGGCGCTTGGATCTAGAGCCCAGACTCCAATTCCATTGACAAGAAAAAATGCTCTTGGTTTAATCCTATTTCTTCTTGAATCGAAGAGCCGAGCCACTTGATTTAGGCGGAGTTCCCTTTGATTCAAGTAAAAGCCCGATTGAATCAAGGGTATTTTTTCTTGTCAATGTTTTTAAGAGTCTAAACTCTAGATCCAAGCGACTTTTTTCCAGTGTTGTCCATCGTTTTGAAGGAGCCACTATTTGGAAGAGAGCTATGAGTCAGTTGCGCCGGGCTCGAAAGCGTGTGTTGATGGTAGAATCTGGTTGAAATATATTTATCGGTACGTTTTTTATGTCTAGTCGCAAGTATCTTGGTTACCTCCGTTCGAAACTTACAAGCATTGGCGATATCCATCGCGCTATGGCGTAAGTCATGGTTTCTTCCAGCTTCATGGCATTAATCATTGATCGGGGATGCACAAATGGACTACATTTTTCAATTAGGAACTACACTTTCTGGCTCATCCATAAAAACACTGATGTGCATAGGGAGACGAGTGGTAAATACGTTGTTTCTAGACAGCGCCAGAAATTTTATTTCCTGATTGCAAAGTGTAGTCGAAATTTACATTTCTTTCCCCCGTGCATTACCAATAAAACCGAAGTGGATGAAAACACCTGCATTGTGGACGACACCAACACCAAGTTACTCAAACGGCAATGCCTATGCGCTTTCACGCAAAATACTGAGTATTAAGACAAGTCTAATTGGTCTTTGTTAAACTTGACGTTATTACTATCAAAATACGATTTTGTGACTGGCGAAACTGCGACCTATTCTGAATTTACATCGGAGACAAGATCGAGTAATCACCGCGGACTGCTGACTGGCTACTCAGTTGGCCGCATTAATTATTGTTGCGAGAATAATCAATGTTTATTCTACGATGAAATCAGTCGGAGAAGTGACTTCGCGGGCGAAACTAACGAGAGGGTCTACACTTGAGTGGGCCCAATTTGAGCGACGATCTGTTAATAATTGAATGAGTTCGGAAAAGCACCTTTCGTAACGGTGTCCTGTGAATTTGGGAAAGGGCTGGACTGCGATAAGCAATTGGAACCACTATCTTCAATGAGTTTCGCGGAAGGACTACACCGCGCTTTGCATAAAATGCGAGGATGGTGTGCGTTTAAACTCCAGACCAGACCTGATATTTTCCCATAAGTATAAAATCCGAGAGATTACATCTAAGAATTACCCGAAAAGCACACATCTTTTCTCGAGGATCTTATACTACATTTCATCAATCGTTTCCGAACGGAAGATTCTGGGGATTTTTAGCGAGATGATTTTCGATTTGTTCAAAATGTATTTTACGGAATAATTAAAAACTGATGTTGTGCACTATATAAAATTTTATTATTGAGCATTACATTGCTATAATTTTCTCTCATATTTTTGTAATTTTTTTCTCATGTTGGACAACGTTGAGGGAAGGAAGACATAGACTCCGTGTAAGAAGCTGCTGAATGTGCTGATGCACTAAAGGAAAGAGCGGTCTTAAAAAGTGGCTAGAGAATGGACCACTAGACAAGGTACGAATTCAAGCAATCTGATACATGTTCCTTAACCAGAATTTCACGTAGAACACGATTCGCGCAACGAAAATTACTGAAACCAGCTCCTGATGAAGATATTAGCCTTTTTATTTCACATTGGTTACGCGGATTTTGAACTGCCCGCTCACAAGAAACTCAAAGCTCTACGTGAGTCAAATCGCGCACCACAACAGTTTCAGCTAGCCCCTCAATCGATCACTGTTTATAACCCACCATATGTTGTTCAAATTATAAGCAATTTGCTATAGCTGAGCCCGCAAGCGTCAAAATTGAGGTTGCCAGATTTTTATATCGCAAAGACTGTCATGATAATGTTCAGCCCGCGATGTGAATCACGTAGAGCATTGAGTTTTAATGAGCGGGTGGTTTGAATTCACGCATCAGGAATCATTTAATATCATTGTAAGGAGTTAATTTCGGTAATTTTTGTTGTGCGCATCGTGTTTTACGTGAAATTTTGGTTAAAAAATATGTATCAGAATGCTTAAATTCGTACCTTGTCTAGTGGTCCAGTATCAATATAGGCAAATATCCTTTTTAAGCGTGCCAGTGTGGCTCGCATGTTTTTATTTACATGCAGATTTAAATGCAAAATTCAGCCCACATTGATTATTTTAGCATATTGCGGAAAATGTTTAAAAAGTTGCGTTGTAAAACAGCTTCTCTAAAATTCATCCAATTAATGAAATCCAACATCCATCCACCATCCATTTATGACCATCGACTGATTACCTTCGAATGTTTTTATCTCCTAAGCCATGAGTCAAATTCTATATTTTGTTGCTGATTCAAAAACAAAAAAATTCTAACGTTTAAACCGGATTCCTGTGAGTTTTACGCGTTGTCATGACAAAGATTTTGCTCGTAAATATAACAAGGTTTCTTTCCTTATTTTTTAGGTTTTTTAATTTTAACTTTTTTTTTTTACTTCAGTAGCTTTTCAATTTTAATTTCTTGTTATCCTCAGATTATTTTCGTTATATTTTTTAGGTACAACTGTACCGCGAGGCCTTCATTCCAAAGCTTAGCGCAATTGTGACAGTTTCTTTACTAGTGAAAATAAAAACATTCTCCTCGTGTATTCCGTGTTCTTTCTCTTTATACGACGCCATTTAGTCCATCAACTAGTAAATATTTTTGACTACACGGAACGTATTAATGTTATCAAATTAGAAATAGGATTTTAGGAATTTAGAGATTATAATTTATTTAGAGAAATATGAATTTAGGATTTTACCAATTTCACTATGTAACGCCGTTGGCTGGTTTTTATTTTAATTTCTTTTTTATTTTTAATTCCATTTTAGCAGTTGATAATGGTGCCGTAAGGTACCGAAACGTTCTGTCTTTGTATTTTGTATTTTAGCCTTGTTTCCGCATTTTCCTGTATTTTCGATTGTCGTTTCCGTTTCGGGCTGCTTTAACATTCTCTTTGTTTTTCCACTATCAAATTAGATTCGTACAGGCACAACGAGAGGGATACCAAAGCAGAACTAACCTAAAAACCAAGCGCACTACACAAGAAGCAGGGAACACAACAATAACAAAGAGGCGCACACCTGTTGTAGCGGGCGACGCGAATCTACGGACCGCGAGACTACTGACGTGTGTCCGGTAGGAGCCCAACCACGAAACTAGACTGGCGTTAGTCAGCGTCGCGACGACCGGCATGGGGCGCCCCGAGTAGCGACGCGGCGCGCGACGCTCGAGTGCCGAGTCGCGTTGCCAAACCGACCACGTTCGAGTGGTGCATGGCTTACATTCCTCGCAACGGAGACCAAGGAGACTCCATGTCTAGGATTGTCATGTTTTTCCAAACCATAGATTGACAGAATATGATAAACACGAAAAAAAATTGATTGCTGATTTAAAAATGGCATGTTTCAAAGGTTGGCGACAAGGGGTGGAGGAGGAGATCAGAAGATGCCGCATGCCGATTGCCGGATGATCTCCGGGACACTGGAAAAAGAAAAAAAAAAAAAAAAAAAAAAAAACATTAGATCTAGAGTCCAGACTCTTAAAAGCATCGACAAGAAAGAATACTCTTGATTCAATCGGATTTTTACTTAGATCAAGAACCAAGCCTCTTACTTTGAGCGGATTTCCTTTCGATTTAAACTTAAATCTGATTGAATCAAGAGTATTTTTTCTTGTTAATGTTTTCAAGAGTCTGGACTCTAGATCCAATGTGTTTTTTTTTCCAGTGCATGGTTTACGGAGCAAAATGTGTGTGTTCACAATGAGGTCAAAATCATCAGTTCTCTACACTTGCTCCCTTGTTTCTGAATGGTATGAATTTCTATTTATTCACTCATGGCTTGCAAACTGCCGGCGATTGTATTTTGTATGAGATTTATCCACATTACCGGCTTGCTTCTCAGGCAACTTTTGGCAGTTCAAAAATAAACCTTCTAAAAATGTTGGTCTTGTTCTTGCCAGACGTATGTGCATGTATATATAGGTTTCCACCGGCCAACTCATATTAATTTAAAAATCTGAATTTTTGTATACGCACCTACCTTTCATATTCTTTGTAAAGACATTAATGGCCTAAGCTTCTGAGTGTCTCCAAATAAATGAACTGACTAACTAACTAACCATATCGACGATGCAACTTCGAGACCAAATATCTAGTACAGCGACATGGCTGGTTTTCCGTCAAATGATTGGTTTCAGCCGTTCTTCCATAAGCCGCGATGTCATTGAACCGCTGCATTGTTCGTGGGAGCGAGGCGACAACACGGCGCGGCGCACACTGGATCGAGTCAATAGGAGAAGCCGGACAAAAGTTGGAAACTTTAAACGCTTATAACTCCGTTATTAAAAAATATCGAGATCTTAAAAATTGCCCCACTGGATTCCTCGTACAATTGACTTCAAGAAGCACCCCTCAAACGTTAAAATTTGACGGAATAAACGTGGAAAATTGCAATTTAAGTGAAAAATTTCATGACCGACCTTTCTAGTTGGCCCCATCTACTGTGCGGCGTTGCGCGGGCGAATCAACGCTGCTTGATGCCGTGTCCGAGCGAAGCGCCACTACAGCCAGCTCCCAACCGCGCCGCGAGATGACTCAACGCGAAACTCAACGCCTGGTCAACGCTATCAACTCCGGCCACGGTGAGAAAAATCGCACTCATAGTGACGGGAGGATTGGTTCTTTGGCGGATTCTCGTGATCTCGTGGCACTCAAAAACACTTCTTGCCATGGACAAAATATTTTGTAGAACCCGCACTAAAAATCAAAGCGATGTAATCTAGCGAGGCAGAATTTAAGCTCATCGGAGGTACAATGGAGTCAATGGTCATCGCTTAACACCTGAAATTTTGTAAATCCGAGTTATTTTCATTGAGGTTTATATCAAGTCTATTCGGATGGTTCAGACAAAAGCGCGTTTCGCACACGTCCGATCTAATTGTAAGTAGAGGTGCAGTCTGCGGGCATCGATGCAGGTATTGACTGATGAGGTTCAAAGGTCCGCAGGCTGATGACCTTCGAACCAGACCTTCATGCACGCTTGGCGTGTCGATTTCCTTTGACATTTTTGCAGCGGTGAATGCATAGCTGAAGTGCGCTTCAGCTAGAATTGTATTTACAAATGGATGGTTTTTCTACGAGGATTAAAAATAAACGAGTGGTTAGAAATGGAAACAAAAGAATATGAACTATGCAAAACGATAAATCCGATAACGGAACTAGGCTGTTTTGAAAACGCCTTCAAATACGGCGTGATACCTCACGCATTCCGGAGAGTTCAAATAAATGTATCATTGCGCCTCATGAATGTGACGGAAGATTTAAATGGAAATAACCTTCATGCCAAAACTACGGAACAAATCTCAACGAAACATAAGGTTATCTCTCATTGTTAGGTAAAAAATGCAACAATTTTGCCGTTTTTACTTTTTTTGTAAATGCTCAACAGTAAACACCCGCATCGATGCCCCTGGACTGACCCTCCAGTTGGACCATATTTAAAGTGCTAAACTGCTAACTGCTGAGCTCCGATCCTCATCGGTGCCCAACTGCCCACGCCCAGAATTCAGGCATCAGACCGATGACCTCCAAATTCAGCTCCCCACATTCAGCGTGTGATTCTGTCAAGGGAACCTCCACTTCTACCTTCCCTAAATTGTAAAAGTTATTTTCAGAAGTTGACGCTTAGATTCACCTAATTTTGACTGATTGAGCAATGGAGATGTTGCATGAGTAAGGAATTTGCGATTTGACTACTGATTCTTATGTAGAAGTTCGCGAGAAACACGATGTGGCCACTGGTTTTCTCTGAAATCAACCCCCAAGCTAAAAAAAAACCCCTCAAGTTGGGGCCAAAATGGACGGGATATCCCACGCTATCCTGAGAGTCCACCTCTACATCAAGACAAACTCTCCATGCAAAGATAGGGAGCAAATACATTAGCAGTGATGCCGGGTTTTCAGTTTTAGAGTCCCCAAATAAAGTGGCAGCCGTGTTAATGTATTTGCCTCCTATCTTTACATGGAGTGTTTGTTTTGATGTAGAGGTGTACTCTCAGAGTAGCGTGGGATATCCCCTCCATTTTGGCCTCAACTTGAGAGCTTTTTTTGAGCTTGGGAGTTGATTTCAGAGAAAACCAGTGGCCACATCGTGTTTCTCGCGAACTTTTACATAAGAATCAACAGTCAAATCGCAAATTCCTCTCACATGCAACATCTCCATTGGTTTAGCGATCCTGACTTAATTTGCAAAAATTCGCCTGCCAAAGCGTTCATTACGTCTCAACGAGTTGCTCATGGATCATCATTCATAAAATTCATCACGCGAAAAGTAGCGTTGACCTTCCGATTGAACTTTTTCCTCGCTGGATTTTATTACTTGGATTATTGATGCGGGATCCTTAAGATATTTCGTCCCTGCATGTTCGTCTTGGAACTTCGCATAAGGAATGTAGATATTATTCAAGCCGATTTTAGAGTGATGCAACTGCCGCGTTGAAATTACGGCTCTTGTTTCGTTTCCTCTCCGGTGGAGGATGCAGCTTTGAGCTTCGTTGGAAGGTTAATTGGGTTATCGCTGCGAGCGGCGCGGCACTGCGTCGCGGGTGAATCGGAAACGACGCGACGTCGATGTGCCGCGTCCGCGGGCGCAGGGCGTCGCGACGCGCGTCCGGCGGCGTCGGGATCTCTGAAGAAGAGGTGAGGAGGATTCTGTGCCGGATGAACTGCAGCTCACTGCTCTCAATCGCGCTTCACTCCCGCTGCTGCTGTCGCTGTCGGTCAGTCCCCTGCTTCCGGTGTCCGGTCTTCGCTCCCAGGTTGTCACATATCGCTCAAATCCACCACTGCCGGCTGATTGTTGAAATTGATGGACAAAAATATAGACAAAGAAGACAAAAGAGATATGGAGGGATCACCGGAAAAAAACACGTTGGATCTAGAGACCAGACTCTTGAAAACATTGACAAGAAAAAGTACTCTTGATTCAATCGGATTTTTGCTTGAATCAAAACGAAATCCGCTTAAATTAAGAGGGTGGGTTCTTGATTTAAGCTTAAATCCGATTGAATTAAGAGTATTTTTTCTTGTCGATGTTTTTAAGGGTCTGGGCTCTAGATCCAATGTGTTTTTTTCCCAGTGATCCTGTTGGAGGGAGCGGGTGATTGAAACGGACAAAGGAGGCAGGTAATAGACTAACTAACGACAACCCACCAGAGGCCCTTTAGTTAGTCAATCATCCTCTCCGTTAGTCTATAGGCATCACTCATTTCAACGAATCGGATCGCTCCATTTATCATCGTCCATCGCTTTGTCTATCAATTTCAACTATCAGCCCACTGCAGGCTGGATATTTGAAATTGATGTACAAAGCAATAGACAAAAAGGTCATAATGAGTATGGAGCGATCCTATTGAATAATTTGGGTGGGTTCCTATAGACTGAGGGGGTAAAGTTGGACAAACTAAACTCCGCGTGAGCTGCTGTTAGATAGTCTATTAACTGCCTCCTTCGTCCATTGGAACCAACCGCTTCCACCAATAGGATCCCTCCATATCCTTTTTGTCCTCTTTGTTTATAGCTTTGTCCATTGATTTCAACAATCAACCCACTGGACAGGCTATAAGTCGTTTTTGTGGTTCCTTACACAGCCTTTTAAAATAATAATAAAAAAGAAAAAAAAGAAAAGTGTTAAGGGTAATCCCCTAAAAGTACCCCATTTTGATGGACGATATGGGCATTTCCAATTAATTGTGGTGGTACGGCAACATTTAGGTTGGTAACCTAATTTTTTGGGGTACTGCACAATTTTAAGATCCCTATAATCAAGTTTGATCTTAACCCCTATACTTAACCCATTTTTGTCGTGACTTGTATGATTTATTGTGGGTAAGAGAGGTATATATGAAAGCCCTCGAAAGGCAATCATAAAAAGGGCCGTTTCTGTCAACCTTGAGGGAAATTCAGCGGTAAAAATTTGAAAATGGACCCTTCAAAGAGATTAAAACGATTTGCCACGGCAAAAAGTACAAAATACGAAAGAAAAATCCTAGGACTGTGATAAACGAACATGCGTTGTTCTAGATTAAACTTTACGATACGAGTTCTACCAAGAGAGGATGACTGCGGTTTAAAAGG